ATATCACATTATCATTTCCCATGGTCATTTCACATCATCACATTTCGTCATCACATTTCATATCTCATGTCTCAATCACATTTCACATTATCTCATCATATTCACAAAGCCTCCACAAAGCACTTTAATTTATATCAAAAATTGTTTATTTATAAAATTAAATACATATTTACACTATACATCACACAAGGAACGTAACAGAACATTCAAAAAGCAAAACAGAAAACATTTATATTTTGCTTGTTTTCTCATAGGTTTCCCGTAGAAACCCATAGAGCACTCTAAATCATATCAAAACATTTATTCTCAAAATTAATCACATACTTACACATTACATTCAACAAGGAATATAATAGAGCAATCAGATAGCAAAACAGAAAATATTCCTATTTTTCCTGTTTCTCATAAGGTTTCTCATAGGAACCCATAGAGATCTTAAATCATACAATTAATTGCATATAAGAAAAATAATAAGCAAAACAGATACAATTGGGAGAAATTCCTCATACATGAGCATACAAAAATAGAACAAACACAGGATTGGGGGCCAATCCCACTACCCAGCATACAATCCCACACCCAGAGCGAGGTTTCTCACTCCCCCCTTACCTCGATAAGTAGGAGCCAAATCTTGTTGGTCGCCCCCTCTAGGTTCCGCTTCGTCTTCAGAGAGAAAGGAGGAAAAAGATTAGAAAATGAAAAAAATAAGTTTTAGAGAGTGCAAAACGCTCTATTTATAGGCATCAGGCCGCGGCCAGAACGGCCTGTTCCGAATCCAGAACGGCCCGTTTTGAGCCCGTAGAACACGTACAAAAGCCTCTCCAAGAACGGCCCGTTCCAAAACCAGAACGGCCCATTCTGGGGTTTTCAGAACGACCCGTTTCAAGGTGGAACGGCCCGTTCTGAGTCAATATTTTTTCTTTTAAAAACACATCCGGAACGGCCCATTCCCAAAGTGGAACGGCCTATTGTAGGTTGAAATTTCACCCATCATACTCGAGTTGGAACGGCCCGTTCCGGGGCTATGAAAATCCAGATATAGTAGTTAATAAATAAATAACATATATAAATTAAAATAAAATATCAATACAATTTTAAAACATAATTTTCTTCAAATAATAATTATAACAAAATATCATAATTAATAATATTATAAAAATAATAATTTTCATAAATGATTATTATTAAAAACCTTTAAAAATTCAATCAAACCCATTTAATTAATTAAAATAATTACAAGGAAATAATCTTCATAAATACAAAAATAAATAATAATTACTCGTAGTATTAGTAGAAAAATTCGGGATGTTACACGCATGACTTGACCTGACTCTCATACGAATTGAACATAAAATCTATAAGAGACAACTTAAAACAATTACTCATTTAGAAGCCAACTTACTCACTAAATGATTGTCAACTTGGACTCTCAGAGTACCATAACTTATATTTACACAATGAAATATTTTAATTTTTAAAATAACTTTATTCTCCTATAATTTTTATATATCTCAGCTTAGACATGTATAATCATCACATGCCTAACAACTTAACAACTTAATCATTTATAAACATCATACAACTTAATCAACTATTAACTTACAACTTAACAACATAAAATATCACTGTACATTATCCTAGATAAATGCATAATGAGTTACCATTGTACAACATTAATTATGTAAATGTATCATCATTCATCAACCCTTAAACAACGCAAAACACCAAGTTTTCATTCAATAAATCATGTCTAATGCCACTTTTCCTAGACCTGATGTCAATTGAGGTTGAGAACCTCTGTCTTGTCCACACTTGATGCCAATCCATCTACACCTAGCGTGGATTCGGTAAAGAGCGTTTGAGTCAATAGCGCTTAATGTGGCTAAACCTACGCTTGATCTCATTTAGGTAGAGAAACTCTACTTGACTTACGCTCAACGCCACAATATTAGTTCCCAACATTGTCTAGGCAAAGAGTCTCTGTCTTGATCATGTTTGGTGCCACTCATCTTGGGCCTAGCGTCACCAAGTCAGAGAGCTCCTCAACTACTCACACTTGATGCCTATCACTCCATACCCCGCATGACTAAGTCAAAGAGCTCATCATTGATTCACGCTTGGCGCTACCAATCCTACACTCGGTGTGATCAAGGTAGAGAACCCCTAATTTGAGTCATGTCAAATGCCATGAAGTTGCACTCAACGCTATGATGATCTCTACAAATAGTAGAATCATCAAAATGGCTCAAACTTACTATGAAACCATCCTAACTAGCATATAATCCACAATACAACATATATGCACCATAATTAACTCATAATCAATACAAATAACAACTTGCAACCACTGCATTTTATAATCACCAAGTTTCATTCAAAAATACAACCAAAAACAAAAAACTTAAGGTAATCCTCATCTCTTTCCAATTTCAATCTAAAACAACCATCAAATGGAAGAATTAAACTTCAAACATGCAATATAACTTAAGCAAATTATCAATCACAAGCTTCCCTTATCTCTAGTCACTCTAAAAAAGAATAGAAGAGGAAGGAGAAAGTGAACCCCGCATGATTCTAACTTGAGATCCTCAACTCCTAAAGCTTAAATCTCTCACTCAACCAACTCCAATCAGTTGCAGTGAAAAGTGTAGAAGGAATCAATGGAAAAATGAGGGAAGGAAAACTTCTCTAACTCTAAAGTCATTCTCTCTAACTTATCTCTACTTTTTCTTAAAACGTAAATTTATGAGATTCACGTATTAAGAAAAACCTTATATAGCATTTCTTAAGTTGACCCAACTAACTCTTGTAGACACCAAGTTTTGTCTGGGCTATTTTTACAAGGGTCGGAGACTTCTAAAGTAAGAAGAGTAGCCCTAGAAGGTCGAAAGAAGTACAGAAGCGAGCTGGGATGAGGTCTGGAAAGCCCAGAAGATACCTTTGCACAAAAAACCCTAATTTAGGCTTGGAACATTGTTCCCAATGAAATTTTTAGGGTATTTTGACCACCCAGAACAATCGTGCCCAAAACCTTGATCATGTGTAAATCTAAGACATGGAACGACCATTCCAAGGTTGGGAACAACCGTTCCCCTTCCTTAGACACCTATAAAAGCGTGTCTAGGGCTCATTCTTCCACACACTTGACACATTCTATTCCCACCTCTCTGTTATTTATGAGTGATAGTGAGGTTTTTGTAGAGTGAAAGACTGCCAAAAAGCGCCCTTGTACGAATTTGAGAAGAGATTTATAAAAGCTTGCTTCAGAGGTTCTAAACTATTTCTCTTCCTCTCTCCTTCTCTTTATTTGCTTTACTTATAGCTTTACTTGCATGCAATAGATTAGACACTGTGTAGATGATAAAACAATATGCGTGTTGTAGATTAGGGTTAATATAAGTTGTTGTACTTTTAATAAAATAAAAGGGGTATAAATTCAATTACATTGTTATTATGCTAAATTTGTCATAGGGTACCGAATTTGGATGTTGTGGGATGCCTAATACCTTTCCCGCACGTAACCGACCCTTGAATCCGATTCTAGTTATGAAGACCAAATCAACATTTTTGAAAACCCTTTTCTTTTTCGATATTTTATGTAAAATATGAGTTAATTACCTATACACTACTAGTGTAAAGTTTTTTTTACACTGGCAACCAATAAGATCTTTTAATAGTGCCATGTCAGTTACTTATTTAGTGAAATAAAAATAAATTAAAATAATTAAAAAGATCTGATTGGTTGCCAGTGTAAAAAAACTTTATACTAACAATGTATTAGTGATTAACTCGTAAAATATTAGGGGAGACTCTTTCGAATTCTTTTCAAAACCATCAAATGGAGGAGTAGTTCGGTCCTCGAACATTCCAAAGCTGAAGAAATTTTTAAACTGAAAGTTCAAATCATCTGATGACAAGGTCAAAATCTTTTGGGTTTCGACAACTCTAACCAATATTATCTCAAAGACAATTTACTTTCGAGGATTCCTTTACCTTTATAACTCTAAAACAACAATTTCAACAATCTATTAATGAATCACATAAATCATATAATTAATTGATAACACTAATACAATATCACAATAAATCACTAAAAACACCCTTATTAAAAGTGAAGCTTAAAAATATTATCTAATTTAATATATAGGGCTGAGTTCTATGATTTATTTTCTTATTTTATTAGATTTATTAGTATAAATGTAAATAAAAATAATTTTTTTTACACCAATAAATAAATGTTAGTTTTTATCACCGCAATAAATCATATTCACCACAAATATATCATATTGTGATATAACATAGTAATATATAATATACATGTAAATGTTTGTTATATATA